GTTTTGAAATTGTTTAGACACACATGTGAGCTTTCTAAAAGGTGTATGAGCTTAGATAAAAGCTTATCGAAGCATCTCGTATCAGAAATATGAACTTCGGTAAGAAAGTCAATAAGTATTGATTTCTAGAAGTCCAACTGATTTCTGAATACATGTCAAAGCTAGTGGGAGCATAAATGCTATGCTGGTAAGAAGATAATTATCATGTTAGTGGGAGCATGATTATTATGATTTGCGAGTTAACAATACTAATTATAGAAAACAAGAATTTCAATTTGCAAAGTTGCATGGGATGAAGAGTTGTTTTGCTATAATTAAGGGACAAAATATTATACTTCATTTCAAATCTAAAAGCTTAGATTGTGAGTTTTTAGTCAAATTTAGTCAAATATATATGAATGTTATGTTGGAATGGTTCAACATAAGGAAATTCTATATATGGAAAGGATAATTGCATTCTCAAAATTTGGTTATGATTACGACATCCCTTTTCATAATTAAAATTTTGAGAACATGGCAATTAGAAATATTATAGCAGAGGACTAGTCTAGTATCACGTCTTTATGTGAGACATTATGAATCGTGTCCCATACGCTTCGGGTATAGGATCGATTGCATATGCTATAATATTTGACCGTTCTAAAATTTTCCAAATGCCTAGAGCATTAAGAGGGAAAATGGACTAGAACCGGATTTGACTAAAATGATTAAACAACTGTCAAAGGACTATCTAAGATTTCCTAAGGATTTGTCGCTTGTGAGTAGTTGGAAGTATAGTCTTGGATGGACCATATCGACATTATTATGAATAGATAAGATTCTATTTAGAATGAGTTGTCATATGGCAAATAAGGAATGTTTCCATAAATGGGAATTGGATATTAAGAATCTATGTCGAGATTAGGAACTTTTATGCAAGAAGGATGTTCAAATGAATGTACTTTGAATGTGAGACTTCACGTCTATGGAATTGTCTTGAAACAATCTCCGATAGAGACCTTTGTAATTTCATTGGCTGAGTCTTGGTGACTTTTGTGCAGTGACATTACGAAAGGATCGTTGCATAAAATGTTAGAATCTAACATATTCTAATAGTGGCAAGAATTTTATATTCTTACACTAACAATGAGTTTTGGGGATTGTGAAATAAGTTTCATTGGAAATGTTTTCCAATTGATCTATTTCACAAAGAAAGGATCATAGGTAAACATAGTGTGCATGTTTGGTGCATGTAACAACTATTGTTATAATTCAAGTGTCAAGTTGATTATCTGAAACAATATACAATGAATAATGAGTAATCAATATGGTGGCTAAATAAAAGGTGTTTTATTTATACTCAAAAGTTTTGGGGTCATATAGGATTAAGTATTATTATTGTGTTTCACTTTGCATGTTTTGACTTCCAGAATAACTAGGTTATTCAAACATCCACAGTTGCTCATACATTGGGAGTAGGTATGAAGCAAGACTGTCATGAGTCCGTCTGTAGATTGTCTAAAGTGTTTAGACATAGAAAAAGTTTGTTGCAGAGTTCATGAGTGCTTTAATAAGATTAGAGTATTGGATTAAACCCACGCTCACTTGAATCACTTCATGGATTTTATCACGAGTGATTGTGAGACGATAATATCTTATATTCTTGAAACAAAGATATATGAGTTACAGTTTGCAAATCGGTTGCACATTGATAATACGTAAACGCACCAGTAACTTGGTGTTATAAAACGTATTATTGTGTGTGATTTGATGAGTAAATAGAGCAAGCATATGAGTCGATGTTTATCCGTTCCTTTTACCCAAAGTTGGATAAAAGCGATATCTGTGGGCCCCTCGATGATTTAGTGATGACACCATAAAGTGCTTGGCCAAGCCGGGACTGATTTGATTTGTTCAATTAGTCAGTCGTCATAAATCGGAAATCGGGAAACAGAACATAGACAAAGATAATGATTAAAATCCATGTCTCGTGTCTATACGATATCTAGAATGGAGGAATATATGATCCCTTATCTAAGGACACGTCAGTGACTAGGTCAGAGTTCGACAACGGCTTTTGGTAGCTAAAATTTGCTAGTCAATTTTTGAAGTTATACTTGCAATTATAGTTATTAGACTTATCCAAGTGGGAGACTGTTGGATTAGGTGTCTAAGCCCATAACTATAATTGTTATGTACTTGAATTGATAGTAGCAATGTCCTTTTGGGTTGCCTTCAAACCTGGCAATTGAATAGGATAATTGTTGGAGAGAGAAGAATAATTTATTAATTTATTGCTTGGTTAATAAATTAATAATCAAGATAAATGATTTATTAATGTATTATGGATATAATATATTAATTAGAAATCATATTGTTTAATTAATATTTAATCAGAAATTAATTTGGAATTAATTTTGGGATTAAAGGAATTAATTGAAACTGTAGGGACTAAAGGTGACAATGTTCAAAAGTTGTGCATTGAGCATTCTAGAACCTCCCTTAGAGGTGGGGAACGAAATCTAGAGTGTCCTAGGGTTTCCTTGGGGTCTAAGGGTGCCTTGGAAGCCTTAGGGAGGAAGTTAAGGGATTAGGGTTATCTAAGATACACCTGCCTTATCCTAAACCTTCCTTATCACCTATATAAACCCCTATAGGGCTGGATTTTGTCCAAGGCACTCCAAGAAAGTCTAAGGGCCAAAATTCTACTCTACTTCTCTCTCTCCATAGTAATCCTTGGTTGCTAGGTTTGTTTGTGAACCATTAGAGGCGCGACACTTGTGGCGCTTGCTACCAAAGTTCAAGATCTTCAAGGATTTGATTGTTATTACAATATAACAATCAAGGTATGTATCCTAACCCTAATTATATGTTAATTTCGAAAAATTACATGTGCCTCCTAGGGTTTCTAGTTTTTGTGTTCAATGCTTGTATGTCTAATAGTGAAAACATAGATTCTCACCTTAGGGTTGCATGCACACATAGGATTGTTTGTTATGTACAAAACCCATCATTTTTTTCATTATAGCATTGTAGTTTCCAAATTACATAAAAATACATATACAAAAATAATACTTTCCATTATAGCTTCCTATTTTATTTTTGTTTTATTCATTTTTTTTCATCTATAACCTTATAGTTTCCAAATTGCATACACACAAATACGGATATAAAAATAATAAAACTTTCCATTATAGCATCCTACTTTGTTTTTTCATTTTTTTCATCTATATCATTATAGCATCCAAATTGCTTTCAAACACACAAACTACATATATAATTTCATTACATACAATTACACGTATACAAAACTAATACACATTCCATTATAGCATCCTACTTTGTTTTTTTTTTTAACTTTTTTCATTATAGCATTGTATTTTCCAAATTGCATATAATACATACATACAGATAAACATATTACATATACATATAAATACATTTTACATTATAGCATTGTATTATCGAAATTTCATACAAATACACAAATAATTTTTTTTTTCATTTTTTCCATTATAGCATTGTACTTATACATATATAAACATATATAGTTATACATAATACACATATATATATATATAAATCAACATATTAAAATACACTTATACATACATTACAATCACAAATGACAAACATATATACATATATAAATATATACACTTATAAATACAAATACAAATACACATATATAAAATACATAATTTTTCTGTTTTCACCATAAATACATGCCTTTATACATACGTTACACATATACATATATTATACATACTTACAAAAACACATACAAATACATACATACATACACATAATACAAATACACAAATACATATGTTATAAAGGAACCATGTTGTGTAATCTGGTGGAGAAGGGTGGTGGTGGCGGTATTCTGGCAGCTTTCCGGCCAAATTCCGGCACAAAACAAGAAAAAACCCCGCTAGATGTTGCAATAATCTAGAGGGCTGCAACAATCTGACTCTTAAGTCGGTGGGAGAAGAAAATAAAATTGAAATCGATGGAGAAGGTGGCGAAAACCCACCTGTGGTCACCACCGATTCTACTTCATCATCGCGGGTGTTACGATTCCTCGTCGCAGGGGATATGAACCGTCAACAGAATTAATGGAATTGGAATAAGAGCCGACGAAATTGACGGATTGTGTTAGTATTCGCCGGTGGAATAGTCAGATAAAAACGAAGGAAGAATACGAAAGGAAATCAACTGTGTGCTATGTATTAGAGAAATGAAATTGATGGGTATTAGCAGCAACAAAGACGTATCAGCGGCGAGAGACGAAAATTAGCGGCGACGAGTTTTAGAGGGAATTTATCGCGGTCTTTTTTCGAGTATCAGCGGTGACAGTCGTCACCGCAAAAGACGTCACCGCTATTGCTATGCACGACGTCTATTGTGAGCTGTTGGATTAGGAACAAATCAACGTCTACTGGGTTTTGACACGGATCTGGGTTTATCACCATTAGCGGTGACAGACCCTCCTTTAGTGGTGACAAACCCCCTTTAGCGACGACATACCATTAGCGGTGACAGACCCCCTTTAGCGACGACATACAACGCGAAAGGCGTATGCGCCGCTAAAGGCATCGCCGCTAATGGTGATTATTCTTGTAGTGAATCGATTTAATAGGATCGAAAATGAAATGTAGTTACTTATTCGGCTTAAAGAAAAACTCTAGTCGCTCTAAATGAACCAACAACGGACAATATTGCTACATATAAGTTAAGCTCATTCTTGGATGATTCAATCTCCAAACATCACTCACACAACTTGGTCTTTCTACTCTCCAACTTGACGAATGTACCAATTACCAAACAACCCCGTTGACCATCCTTATCTTTCCTATGTTTGTGCTCTTTAAATATTCATCGATCAATTGATGACTTTTCATTATAATGTATATAAATAATTATAAGTCTACAGACCAAGTCAACCATAAGAATTCGCTGTCACACGAACCTGCATTATATGGTTTGTGTGTTTGATCAGTTTTTCTTGCCACTCGGAAATCTGCATTTTACTTTCAGAGATGGGGTCAAAAATCCGACAGTTACTTATAATCTTTTTCATTCAAATTTGGATAACAACAGCTCAGAATCGAGATGGTAATTATTTCATTAAATTTGTTTCCATTCTAGTTTACTTGAGGCGAGTCACACCAGGGTCCTAGCTTGGGTTTGTGAAGTTTTATGGTGTTTAATTTGTCGTTTTTGTGATGGAATAGGTGCTGCCCTACAGGCTCTCAAGGAAGCTTGGAAGAACACTGTACCACCGAGCTGGAATGTGGGCTCAGACCCATGTCGTGATGGTTGGGAAGGCATCATGTGCACCAATTCACGTGTCACTTCCATGTAAGTCCTTCGGCCTTCGGCCTTCTAAGGCTATTTCCACAGGGACTACTTTGACCTTCATGTGATTCTTGTAACAAGTTTTCCTGTTTCTCATCATTAATTTCAATAAACTTTTCAGATATTTGACAAGCATGCAGTTAACTGGTGGGCTCCCTGGAGACATAGGGCAGCTGGTCGAATTGCAATACCTGTAAGTTCCTGCGTTTGATTGTCGTTTAATTTTGAGCTTGTTAGCAAATCTTTTACTATTGTTTCTCTTTGTAGAGCTCTATCTTACAACCCAGGTTTGACCGGATCACTCACTCCAGCAATCGGAAATTTGGGGAAATTAACAAACTTGTAAGTAATCTTATGTTCCATCACCCTTACAAAATTACGTATTAGCAATGGGATCCCTGCTAGTTCGTTAAAACCTAAATGTTTGATCTTTGTTTCAGAGTTCTCGTAGGTTGCAGCTTCAGTGGACCAATTCCTGACACCATTGGAAATCTTCCACGACTTATCATTTTGTAAGAAAGTTTCTTGCATACATAATACATTACTAATTACTAGTACCCATTAGTAATTCACTATTTGTATAAAAACAAATTGTTAAATTCGGCAATTTGGATTAAATTACATGGCGTGGATATTTGGATATTTGAATTATTCCAAAAACTGAATTATTATAATGGATTGCAATTGGTTTTGGTTATACAAGAACCAATAGTCCAAACAAACCAAAGAACAATTATTTTTATTTTATTTTAATTTATATATTTTATATTTATCGTTAGTTATTTATTACTTTATTAGCATTGACTTTTGAATCAAATTAATGTAAATTTTTATTTACAAGTGCTTTTATTTCTTTTATTTGAGTTATTTAAACACACTCACAATCATTGATCTCATATCTGACTTTTTTTTTATTTTATTTGCCACTTTAATATTTTTTCCATTATAATCTTATTTGTTATTGCTTTTATTATTTAAAATTAACTAATTTACCTACGTTAACCTGCATTAACCATTATGAATTTAATATTTCATATTGGAGATTAAAAAACAAATTAATTAGTTGACAAAGAATAAAACGTTGAGAATTAAAATAATTAGGGGAGTAAAATGGAACATTATCAAACAAATGTGGTCAATTGTATATAAAATAAAACTAAGAAAATTAGAAGAATAACAATAATTGATATAATTGACCCGAAAAGCTTTTATCCAATGATAAAAGTTTTTTATAGATATGTTATTAATAATTGACCTCAGACATGCTAGGAAGACATCAAATAAATAATATGTGAATTTAAACAGGACAACCAAGCATTGCTAATGTTCAATTATGAACTTTTATGTAATGTCAAAGACTCCTAATAAACTAAGTGTTAAAACCGATCAGACTGATCTTATTTGTTATTGCTTTTTTTTTTAAATTAACTAATTTACGTACGTTAACCTGCATTAACCATTATGAATTTAATATTGGAGATCAAAAAACAAATTAATTAGTTGACAAGTAATAAAGCTTTGAAAATTAAAATAATTAGGGGAGTAAAATGGAACAGTATCAAACAAATGTGGTCAATTGTATAAAACATAAAACTCAATAAAATTAGACGAATAAAAATGATTGATATAATTGACCCGAAAACCTTTTATCCAGTGATAAAAGTTTTTTATAGATATGTTATTAATAATTGACCTCAGACATGCTAGGAAGACATCAAATAAACAATATGTGAATTTAAACTTGACAGACCAAGCTTACTAATGTTAAAGTTATACAATTTTATGGATTAATGTCAATGACTCCTAATAAACTAACTGTGAAAACCGATCAAACTGAATTATTATTTTGTTGGTTCAAATCAAGTTTTAATTTATTTCAGACTTATATGGATCAATGTTTTGAAAAACAAAACAATTTAGATTCATTTAATCAAATCGGATTAAACCTATACATTCAAATGAGCACCCTAATTAGTTGGCTGCTTTTAACAACAACCGAATCTATAGCTACAGATTTTACATTGTACTTTATTTTTCTAATAGTATACCTAGACCTATATCTTTGACTAAATGATTTGTGCTTATAGATCTCTGAACTCAAACCGCTTCACCGGATCAATTCCAGCTTCCATTGGTAATCTTAAGAATCTTTATTGGTTAGATCTCACTGAAAACCAGCTCACCGGGAATATACCAGCTTCTGATGGAATAAAGCCTGGTCTTGATATGTTGACTCATGCGAAACACTTGTACGTCTGTGTCTATATCCTTTCAGAGCTTAAATCCTCTCTTACGATGAAATTGTATGCCTGATTTTCTAGTATTGAGTATTGACCCTGATAGCTTATTGTTTTTACTGTTTTCAGTCACCTAGGAGACAACCAGCTTTCGGGCAATATCCCACCTCAGATCTTCCACTCGAATATGAGTTTGCTTCATCTGTATGTTTCGATCAAATGAAAGATTAACAAAAAAGCATACACGATTAAGACAAGTTAACTTACTTGGGGTTTTTATTACTTGACCAGGTTATTTGAAAACAACAAGCTTACGGGTCCTATCCCTTCCACACTCGGACTGGTTAGGTCACTGGAAGTTGTGTGAGTATCTCTGTATAGCCATCTTTAAGCTGCTTCATAATGGTTTTTGTCAACTACCTAGCAAACCACTATGTACTTGTGCATATTGTGAGATAAACTTTAATTGTAATCATTCTTTTTAACAAGAAATGTGTTGTTTTGAATCAGACGACTTGATAGGAACTCTTTGACTGGTGATGTCCCATCAAACATCAACAATCTTATCAATGTGACTGAGATGTAAATTCAAAAACTTTAGATACTTAGTTCACTGTTATTTAATTTAGATGTATGATTGTGGATACATTTGTTTCCTAGGTTCCTATCATACAATAAACTGTCCGGTCAGGTGCCCAACCTTACTGGCATGAACGTCCTCAACTATCTGTAAGTACCAAGGAATCACTGTATCAGTTTGATTATTGCTTAAAAGGAAAAAAAAAAAAAAAAAAAAAAAAAAAAAAGAACTCTCCTGTGATCTCATATGTGCAGGGATTTAAGCAACAACAAGTTTGGCCCATCGGATATCCCTTCATGGTTTTCAACTCTAAAGTCTTTGACAACACTGTAAGCAAAGTTTTTCGAATAATTTGGCCCGAAATCGAGCCAGGGAAGTGTAGTAAACTTTGTTATGCTGAACGGCTAATTATTATTATTATTATTATTTTTTTTTTTTTTTTGGCTTTTGTTATGATAGGAAGATGCAAAATACAAACCTTAGAGGACAACTGCCTGCTGCATTGTTCGAGATTCCTCAGTTACAAAATGTGTAAGTTCATATACATTGGTATGATTGCATTATACCATGACTAGCCTGGACTACACTTATAAAGCTTTCTTCAAAGATAAACTGAGGAGGGCATTTACGTCTTTTGTACCTATCCAATTTTTTTGTCTCAATGATATCAATCTGTCCAAGTTTTTTTGTCTCATTGATATCAATCTTTTGGTCCAATGCACCACAAATGGCACCATAAATGCAGTCCTCAAACGAACTCAACAAACTTTCTCAAACTATTTTGATGTTGATGATGAACAAAGCATATACTTCTTTTGCACATGTTCCACATTTTTTGGGGGAACAAAAAATTTCAATTTTTGTCCCTCTATATCATTCTCAGTCGTAGTCAAATACACGCTAAATGCACTGTAAGGTGTGTTGTTATGTTGTGTCCTCTAAAACCTAATAACTTGCAATGGTTCTTTGGCAGTGATCTAAGTGACAACCAAGTAAATGGCACCTTGAATATTGGCTTAAACCCGAGCTCACAACTTCAACGTGTTGATCTGCAGACAAACAATATTGCCGACTTCACCCAACGACTTCAATATACAATTGGTTTAATGTATGTTTTTAAATATTCTCCACTCATATAAGGCATTTCTTATTTCAAGTTGAAATGGACTAGAAGTTTTGAGTTTAAATCCGGCATCGGGTATAACTGAGATCAATGGGTACAGTAAGGCTTTGCTTACCGAATAGGACAAGATTGGACAGGCTTTCTAGGGCTAATTTAGATGACGATGATGAGGAAGACATTTATGTCTTTTGCACAGACGAAAGATAGAGCTCGAGTCCCTATCCCACTCTATTCCACCTTTTGGGTGGGATGAAAATTTTCAATTAGAGAGCAAGTCTCTATCCCACCTCGTTCCACATTTTCAGTGAAATGAAAAAAAAATTCAATTATGTCCCATTAACATCGGTACATGTCCATGCCTAGACGCGATACTCATTTCTTGTGATGCATAACAAATGGGATAAAGGGCATGGATCTCTCACTTATTTGTGATTTATTTTCTTTATTCTCGGTTTATATGTTTAAAGTATGTTTATTTACATATACAGACTCGTTGATAATCCAATATGTATGGAGTCGGGGGTGACAGATAAATTTTGCTCTCTTCCAAGCAACACTACCACATCATACTCAACACTACCAAACAACTGTATTCCCACCCCTTGTGGTTCAGGCCTAGTTTCAAGTCCCAACTGTAAATGTGCGTTTCCATACACAGGCTCATTTATCTTCAAGGCTCCTTCGTTCTCTTCGCTCGGAAATACCACGATCTATGAATCCCTTCGTCTTTCATTAATGACATTCTTTCAAAAAACACAAATGCCAGTCGACTCAGTTTCATTAATGAATCCTTATAGGAATTTGGATGATTACCTTGTGTTAAATCTTGAAGTTTTCCCATCTGGCGAACTGAGTTTCAATAGGACCGGGATTCTTTGGCTCGGCTTTGTTCTTAGCAATCAAACTTTCAAGCCTTCAAAAGATTTTAACACCTACGTTTTCATTGCTCAAGACTACGATAACTTCTTATCAGGTAAATGATAGAATACCAACATACATTCATTTATTTATATATTACAATATTATCCTTTCATTTCCTTCCATTACAATGTCGTACTTACAATTTTATCGTTTATTAGGACACTCTACTTTGATAAATATACCCAATAATAGCATATAATGCTTCTAATTTTTTCTTATTGGAACATTATAGTATGAAAAATCTACCCAATTAGAATCGTGAAAATTAGTCTGTATTTGGATGACATTGCTATAACTGGGTAGGTTTTTTAAAATCCAATTCCATAATACAAATAAAAGAAAGCATGATGCTATAATAAATAAATACATGAAAGTATGTTACTATTTATTGCATTTAACCCTTTAAATTATCAATCCTCTATTCATGTTTTTGTGAACAGAAGTACTGGTCAAGGGAGGAACAACACACAAATCATCGAACACCGGAGTCATAGTAGGATCTGCAATTGGTGGTTGTGTGTTTGTGGTATTACTGGTGGTTGCCGGAGTGTATGCTTTTCGTCAGAAAGGGCGAGCAGAAAGAGCCACCCAACAAAGTCGTCCTTTTGGTAAATATGGTCATAATCCTTTAGGGCTAATCCGTTATGTATAACACGATGGGACAACCTAAAGGCCTTGTACTGTGTTTGTCTTGCATATAAAATTGCAATTTTTTTGTCCCACTCTAAGAGTGGCATAGGAACTTAGTCTTGATTCTCGTATGTGCAAAAGATGAGAATGCCCTCCTCATCCTCATCACCTAAAATAACTATACAGGAAAGGACAACATAATAATTTTAGGTTACTTTTGATGACAAAGATGATGAGGGTATTTATGACTTTTGCACAAATAGAGGGATTTAGTGTTGTAGGACAAAAAATTGTAATTTTTATCTCACAATTATCACTTTGAGTTACGGTACAATGCACGCAGTGTAAAATGTAGTGTAACATATTCTCTTATCAAACCGAGTCTGGTGTCAGTAACAAATGCTTAAACTTAAAATATAAATTTGGGATCTAATCAATTTAGCACAATACTTACAGCACTTTGGGATCCAGCCAGTGGAAGTGGTGGTGTTCCACAGTTGAAAGGAGCCAAATCTTTCAACTTTGAAGAACTTAAGAAGTACACAAGAAATTTTTCTGAGACTAATAACATCGGAGCTGGTGGATATGGGATGGTTAGTTTTGTGTTGTTCATAGTTTCGACCAAATTTCAAATGTTAAACGGTGTTTGAATATTGTGTAGGTATACAAAGGAACTCTTCCAAATGGACAACTAATTGCCATCAAAAGGGCCCAACAAGGATCAACTCAAGGTGGGCTCGAGTTTAAAACTGAGATCGAGCTTCTTTCAAGAGTTCATCACAAGAATGTTGTGGCTCTTATTGGTTTTTGTTTCGATCAGGGCGAACAAATGTTGGTTTATGAGTATATTGTGAACGGTACCCTCAAAGACAGTCTTTCGGGTAAGAATAACATAATAGTTGTATTTCATTTGGTGTGGCTAGTACTCAAACTAAAGTCAATGAGACAAGCATTATTGCATTTTTTTTTGTTTTATTCCACCCAAAAACGTGGGACAAGGACTCAATCTCAATCTCTTTTCTTTACAATAGACAAAGATGTCCTCCACGATGAAAATAAGTTATAAAGTTTGTCCGTTCCCATTAGTAAATAACCAAGATTAGCATACAATGATATGTGTAGGGAGATCAGGGATTAGGTTGGATTGGATGCGAAGGCTAAAAATAGCACTTGGCGCAGCAAGAGGGTTACAATATTTACATGATCTTGCTGATCCACCCATCATACATAGAGATGTCAAAACGAATAATATCTTATTAGACGAACGATTAGTCGCAAAAGTTGCCGATTTTGGCCTTTCGAAGCCATTGAGTGATGCTAATAGGAATCATATTACCACTCAAGTCAAAGGGACCATGGTTAGTAACACTTCTCCTTGTCTTTGTTGTTTCGTAGCGGTCTTGTTTGTTACACAAGACACAACATAACTTTCATTTCGTTTGGCATGACCTAGAATAATGTCAAAATGGAACAAAAATTCAATTTTTTCTATAACTTGCTCTCGATTTGTCGTTTAGACAAAAGAAATGAATGCCCTCCTCATCCTTATCACTAAACACAACCCTATAAAGTTTGTCAAATAAGAATTTTAAATAGTGATGTATGGCCATATTGATGAATGCAGGGGTACATGGATCCGGAGTACTACATGACACAACAATTAACAGAAAAAAGCGATGTTTATAGCTTTGGAGTAGTGATGTTGGAATTGATAACAGCAAGAAACCCTATCGAGAAAGGCAAGTACATTGTGAGGGAAGTGAAACAATCAATGAACAAAAGTAAAGAATTGTATGGCCTACACGAGGTCCTTGACCCGACCATTGGTTTAAGTAGCCAACTCAAAGGTTTGGAGAGGTTTGTGGATGTGTCATTAAGATGTGTTGAAGAGACAGGAAACCAACGACCACCAATGAGTCAAGTTGTAAAAGAGCTTGAGAGAATCATGGAGTTGGTGGGACTTAACCCAGGCACTGAATCATCATCCTCAACTTCAGCAAGTTATGAAGTATCCGGTACAGATTACAACCATCCTTATAGTAATGACAGTCTTTATGCTTATAGCGGAGGTTTTTTGCCTGCAAAGTTGCTGCAACCCAAGTAAGATTCTTGGTTTTTGCTGTGTTACATTGTCTATATTTTTATTTGTATCTATATTGATATTTTCATCTCCATTTATCTACATATATGTGTATGTTATCCATATAAGAGAGACGATATACAATGTTAGCAGTATAAAAACAATAAAACAAATGCATATCCTTTTTGTGTTTATTTTAAACTCAATATAATGTTTCTTTATCTTAGGTATGTATATATAAGTTTTCCTATTATGTGTTGTAGATACTCTTTTATGTTGGTGAAATCAACAAGCGCGTTGTGCCCCATCATCATCATTAACCAACTTCTTTAATACACAACTACACATAATCTTTAACTGCTCTTGATGTTATGAATCCAATACTCTTAAATGTAATAACAAAAGAAATTACTCAAGGTAATATTGAAAACTTAATAGAAATCAGTGGTTGCAAAACAGACTTAAGGTAAACCAAACAAATTTGAGAATGCTAGCCTCTCCCACAAAGATACCAGACAGCAAATTTCAGGCTCATTCTCTCCCCACTAACATTGTCTAAATATTGCTCACGTTACAAACATTTCTAGACTGAATTTACCAAGCTACCCCTTTCTCTTACGTACTTTATTTAGCCAATGATGTATTACGCTTTTTGCACCTTCCTAGAATAAGTGAATCTAATTGTGTTGAACATTAATTATTCATGTAATGTTTCGCATTTCACCCAAATCTAAAAAAAAAAATCCGGTTTCTACTAAAACTTTGAATCACAAAATGATATAAAAATCCAAATCAATCCTCATTTATGGATATGTACTGATTGGTGGGGGTAACTGAGAGGGCAATTTAGTGGAACTATTCTAATTTCTAATAGGGGGCAATTTAGTGGAACTATTCTAATTTCTAATAGCTAACTTCAGTTGGGATACATGAAAAATAGGTTGGAAAAATAAGTTGTATACGATAGGTTTCTGGCAACTGCATACCATAGGCCACCTTACCCACACTAGTACAGAAAGCATTTGTTGATGCGGTTAAAATGATTAATTGATGCGGGTATTTAACCGTACCAAAAAATATCGCATCAAAAAATACCTTTATTTAATGGTGCGGTTCCAAAACCGCACCAAAAATAACCAAAACTGCACCAAAAAATAGCCAAAATCGCACAAAAAAATAGCCAAAACCGCCTCAAAAAATAGCCAAAATCGCTCCAAAAAATAGCCAAAACTGCCTAAAAATATAGACAAAGTCGCACAAAAAATAGTCAAAACCGCCTCAAAAAATAGCTAGCTAAAACTGCACCAATTAACAGGTTCACCATTGATGCACATCACGCTACTTATGAAGCTTTATTTTCTTGTATTTAGGTATGTTCGGTGAGTGTTTTTCATTCAAAGGTTCAATCGTAATTTCTTTTTCTCCAAAAAGAGTGGTTTCAATCTCTACAATTTATTTTTCTCTACAAATTAAAAATTTATTCTTGGGAAATCACATTTCATCGAAGTTGTTTCCAATTTCTTTTTCGACAACATCTTAAAACTCACTCTGCAAAACCTAGCTCCATACCCATTGATTGAAAGTCATTGAAGCAAACATCATAAGTCTTTGGATTCTTTTTTGGAGATATATCACGGAAGAAGAGACATCTGAAGAGATTCAGAGATTCAGAACAAGAAAAAATCGTTAAAACTTAAAATAGGACATCTATTTACAATTAATAAAAGAAAAATGGAGTCACAAATGTCATTAATGAAAAGAAGATAAATAATAGACATACCTCACATGTGTTTTCAAACATTGAATCGACAAATCTATAATTATAAGAAGAGACTGCATCACCAACGTTATATAAAAGAGGGAAGATTGAATGAAAACTTTGAAAAACATGAAAATTTTGAACGGAATTTGAAGGGATCTAGTGTGAAATGAAAAATTCGAATGAAATTTTTAGAGGAAAGATTAATGGTGCGGTTCAATATTTTTTAGTGCGAATTGTTTTTTTGTCCGGTTCAGTGTTTTTTTAGTACGAATTATTTTTGGTGTGGTTGTAATTGTTTTTTGGGGCGGTTTCCACATGATTTTTTGGTGCGGTTTCACGAAACCACATCAGAAAATGCTTTAATGGAGCGATTTTGGGAAACCATACTAACAAAGCAATTTTATGATGCGATTCTTTTATTTTTTGATGTTGTAGATATTTAATAAGGGGGTTTTTTGAAGGTACTGCAAAAAAAATAAAAATCTCTCGCACTATTAAATATTGTAATGGGTCAGTAAAACCATGGTGCTAATTTCTCATAGGGACGTTTTGCTAATGATGATTTGTTGGAAAGGCTGTAACTTCAAGTATACTCGGTCTCCTTCTTTAAAAAACACATCCCTTCAATTTTTACTTCCTTAATCTTCATGTTTTCTTGATCCTTCAAATTGTTGAATTTTAATTCATGATTAACTGCATCTCGCCCTTGGAGTTATTCATCTATTGAGGATAACACGGTGTCACTCTGCAACCAATTTTTGGTAAGTTTTTAACTCCCCCAAATGACCTCCTATAGCTATGTTATGATATTCATATAGTAGCTTAGGAATATATGTCGAGTCTTTTAGTATTACCAATCTTCCCTTGTAGTACAACCGCCCTGGTTCCAGTATAGACCTTGTCGGTTGCTTATCTAAAGTTTTTAATTCTTCCACAACACGTTTTATGAAGAAATCTGCTATTATTTCTTCATATACTGGTTTAGTAGAAAATTTCAAGATGAGTGAAATCTACTAAATTCCACCATTCGGTAATATAGGGTGTTGACTACCTTGTTAGATGTCCCCGTCTTGTGTTGTATTTCGAAGTCAAAACCCATCTGTTTATATAGCCATGTTTTATACTCACTCACGATTTCTTTTTGATCCAACAGAAATTTAAGATTTTTCTGGTCAATTTAATGATAAATCGTCTCCCGATTAAATAGTATCGCATTTGTTTCGAGGATAAATGCTAGAGAAAAAACGGCATCTCCTGACCCAGTCGTTTTCAAGGCTATTTTGAGTTGCTGGGAAGATGCGGTACCTTGAGTTAACCGGTGAAACTGCCCCTTTTTTTAATAAGTGAGTGGACAACTAGTTATCACACCTAAAAGATAGACATCTCACATGTCATGTCAAAATGGTGTTATAACACCAAATGGAGAAAATGAGCAATTAGTTATAACACTCTCAACTTCCCCTGTCATCATTTCTTTCTTTCTTTTTCCTTTTTTCAATTTATTTTTTTTTAATCATGTTGAATTATTTTTAAATAAAATGAAACATGCAATTTAATTAAATCCTAGATTAACCATAACTTTTAAAAACTTAAAATAACATTACACACACTTCCGAATATTTCTTTCCGGTCATCTCCTTCATCTTCCGGAGCACTCGTGTTTTTCGTGGTCCCATATTTTCTTTGGTAGTTAGGAGAATTGTTAAATCCTGATCTATCTTTCTCCGCTTGATTACGAAGAAACTCCAACTACTCACGTTACACACCAACCTTTTGTTGGGCAATCAGATTGTGTTGGTCGAACTTTGTTTCATTTCCACCAACTCTTGTGCCCTTCTATCAGTTTCGTCCGCATGACGTTGAGCACGTTTCGCTTTATCACATCCGATCGGTCAACGTAAGGGGGAGATCTCTTCGATGTCGTCGGGAATGTTATTCATGTCGGCGTTGAGGTCGATGGTAGTTCGTGCGTCGTAAACGTCAGACTAACGAGAATTGCGAGACCTCTTTGATTGTGACCCCGACGATGTTAACGCCTTAATCTATTTTGGATCTTGCCTAACAATCTCCCATATTTTTTCAAACTCGAAACTGTGTCCCATTTTGACTTGATATTGTTCTCGTGCAGCTTTGTACACATCAAAATCATTTGCACCACTTTGCTTTTGCGCTTCTAGTCTCATGAAAATCCCACTAAACTTGGTGCACGTGCAACGGCGATTGATCGGAGTCCACTTGCTACTAAGAATATCGATATTGCGATATGGTTGTTTCTTCATAAGCGCGAGGAATTTGCCGAGCACGACTTCCCGAAACCCAATTCTTCGCATATCATTTCTAACAGTTGAACTCTTTAAAGTCCCACATCATGCCACCGCCAACGTGTACTCCTCCTTCAGTGTCCACCATAATGGAGGTTTTTCTTCAGTTTCGACGACTGCCTTCCCTTTCCTTTTCCTTTTCCCTTTCCCTTTCCCGCTCCATTTCCAACTGCCTCCCGCTTGTGTTTCGGGAACAGTTTCTGGTGGTGGTTGTGTGGTTGTGTGGTTGTTTGTTGCATGGAATCGAAAGCACTGAAAAGGTTTCGTTGAAGACTTAGGTTTTGTTGCATGTAAGGGGCTGTAGGAAATTGCATTGGGTTGAGTTCGGATTAAAAAAGTTCTTTAGAAGTGGTATTTGTGGTGAGTTTGAGTTGAGTAGGTTCATGTAACTCATGTATTGTGCGAACCCCATTGGGACGGATGTGTTTGTGTTTAGAGGAAAGGTGTTCAAGTTTTGCTGCATATTTGGTTGGAAGGAAAAGTGGTTTTTTTTAAAGTTGAAAGAAGTATCAAGATGAGAGAAGATTGTGTGTTTAAAAAAATTATGTATGTGTGTGTATTTATATGTAAAATAAAAAAAAAATTTACATAATAACAGTTCACCAACGGTCAAAAATAAGACTGTTCACTGGTGTTACGTATCGTTATGTGGGCAACGGAGAGCAATGTAACGGACAAAAACGAAATGGGGGCGGTGTTTAGCCATGACCACGGCGTTTTTGTCTAGCCACGTCACAAAAGCGAATATGGGCGTTGCCCACACCGTTTACTCTTAAGGAGCTGATACGGCTGCATTCCAAATAATAAACATCTAATAGTGTCCTGTCAACCCTAGGAATCCCCTTAATTCATTGATGTTTATGGGAACGCCGATTCCAACATTGCATAATTTTGATCCTGATTCATTGTAACTCCGGTTTTAGACACTACATGGCCTAAAT